AACAAGTTTTTTGTACGCACAAATCTAAATTTATGCACGATGTTGGTGAAACTTTATTTTATTTAGAATCAAACTACAACAAAAATTCCTTCGTGTAAATATTTTCACTTGTCATTTCTTTATACAAAATATACGCATTCATCCAGCTTGGTCCAAAATGTTGAAAAACATCTAAACTGGCCATCTGCAACTTTTCAACTTCGTGTTCTATCTCTTATTTTTATTGAGTGATTATGTTTCAAACTTATTTTTAGAACAAGCACATGTATCGGCTTACTTTTAAATACAGTAAAAGTAATGAAATTTGATTTATAAATTTGCTTCAAAATCCGTGGAAGAATTTATCAGCTTTAAAACAACGAACTTTCCAAGTGGACAATTGAACAATCTCTACTTTTATCCTGTCCCAAATAGGAAAACTCATATTTTATATATTTACCATTGGTTTCACAGAACTTTATTTTAACTCTTTGGGGGCGGCTGTCCACCTGAGTGGACAAACATACTCTGTGAGACCTATTTTATGAACAATGACTCGGTTTGCATCGAAACGTTGAATAAATTACATATAGCAGTGATAAATAGTGTTGTATTTTGAAAATAATTTTTAGTTATTTTTGAAGTATTTTCAGCCTTTTTCTTTGCTATTTAGTCTTTTTTTAATACTTAAAACGACCGAGCGCTTTTAAATATTGCAAAACGACTGGTAAATTTTGTGAAATAAGCAGTAGTGAATATAAATTTCAAATAGACATTCATACAGACAAATTTTACAAAATTACTATTCGCACCGAAGTAATTTTACAAAATTACTACGAAAAAAATCAAAATTAAAACTTATTTTTTTTTTTAATTTTTCTTTTTTGTATCACAGAGCAAAAAAATCACAGATTCCGAAACAATTTTTAAATTTTTGAAAAAGTGACCTGTGGACACCCAAAAAATTGGCAACCCCTCTGAAAAGGGGTGAAAAAATAAATTTTTTGAAATTTTTTTTTTATTTTATATTTAAGTAAGCGAGCAAAAAAATTGGGCATTTTCAAAATTGTCAATTTTTATAATTGGCAAATTTGGGAATTTTCCTATGCGTGAAAATCTATGATGGGCAAAACTTTTCCAAAAATTATTTGCATCATTCGACAGCAAAAAAATCACCGATAACGATAGTAAAAAGAAATTTTAATTTTTTTGCATTTTTAAAGGGGTCGGTGCTGACTATATATATAGTTAGCACCGAATTTGGCCACAACCATTTATCTCGAGAACGGAAAGAGCAAAAAAATTTTAGTTTGCACCAATCGACAGCAAAAAAATCGTCAAAAAATCAGGTCATATTAGTTTTGCCAATTTCCACCATCGCGGTGCCAAGTATGTAGACGTATATATGACATACCGTAGGGTAAGTTATTGTAAGCAAAAATGGAAAATGAAAATTTCAACATATCTTTACATTTTAGAGGTTTCTAAAAGTTTAGGCATATCTTAGAAAAAATTGAGGTGTTTGTGTATGGGTGTATGTAGTATGCATGTACGTATCGATGCAATTTTTCGTCGACATTTTCGGAAGCACTGCTCAACCGTTTTGAATTATTTAAAAAACATTCGATTTTGGCAAAAGTTTGGCAAAAATTTTCACGTTTGCAAAAAAAATTTTTCAGAAAATATCAGTAAAGGCAATTTTTTTAATATTCAAATTTTTCAAATGTTTTCAAAAATGATCAAAAATCTACATTGTAAAAAAACTAATTTTTCTTTGATCTATTAAAAAATTTTGAGTTCGGGAAGTATCAGCAATTTGCCTTAAGGCACGATGCCATGCACCACTGAATCACTAGTACCTTAATTTGCATTTAACAACAAGTGTCAGTTAAATAATTTTTCTTCAAATTCTCGAAGCCCATATACGCATCCAGTGTAGAAGCGAATTTATGGTTGTGCCGAAAGTTTCGGTTTGATCGTTTGTTTTGTGTCCGTAATGCCGAAATGCCGAAATGCCGTAATGCCGTACCGTGTCCGCACGTGCCTCCTAAGCACATGTTGCAACCAGGAAACATTTTATTCGTGAGGTCGTAAAAATGTCATGTCAGCGACGTAAAACAATCCGATATTGCTTCTCGTCATTGTAATGAAAAGGTAATGTAATTGATACATGTGACTGAACATTGAATTTCACTCCAATTTTACGACAGTGTGTTTGCAATCGATATGCGTTTTGTTACGATTTCGATATATATATATATATATATATATATATATATATATATATATATACGGCGTCCCAGAACTTACCCTTAAGCCAAGACGGGGTGATAGCATTGACCTTAACTGTACTGAAAAAATTAGAACTAATGCAATGTGCACGGCATCGTGCACATGCACAATGTGAGAGCTTATAACTGAATTGCAATGTTTAAATTATTAACTTCCCACTTTGATATTTTGACTCCAAATCAGTTATGCAGCGCGATTGCTTAAAAATGTTCAATATTTTCAAGAAAAAACAAAATACAAAATGAATCAGAATACTAGTTGGTATTGGTATTCAGCCTTGAGGCAAGTTACATGAACTTCCCGATATGTGTAAATAATCGACTTAATCAATAATAAACAAATTAATTTAAGACTGATTAGAAGTATTCCGAATGGATTTATTACACATAATTGAAAACGAACGAACACGTTAACTCTTATTTTTTATAATTTAACCAGTTTTCGTAGGAAAATTAATGGTTTAGTAATGTTCATTAAAACCAAGTAATCTATCGTTATACCAACTAAATCATCTAATTTTAAATTTAGCAAATGTCAAAAAAACTACTCATTTTCTTAAACTTTGATGATTTTTTATAATCAAGCTACTTGTCGTAAGGCATTAATATTTCAGTAAGTTCTATAAGACCATGATATATATCGCCAAAAAAAGTTCCATAAAAATCGGCTTAAATTTTTTTTTCAACAGTTAATTACAAGAAAACGGCTCGGTAGATTTTTACCTAAAACTAATCAGTATTATTCCCAACTAATATCTTTCGAACAGTTTTTGATTTTTTAAAATCAATTCAGTAGTTTGAGCTTAAATGTGGACGAAAAGTTTAACACTTTTTTTTCAAATTACAAAGAAACGGTTTGGCAGATTGTCTCACATAACTGACAAACAATAGTCCTCATTGAGATACATCAAATGGCTTTTAAATTTCTGAAATCGGTTCCAGCATTTCTGAGAAAACACCGATCAAAGGTCTAATATTGACAAATGCCGAAAGAACGATACTAATTTTTGCAAACTTTGAAGAATGTTTAAAGGTAAACGAGTTGACGTAGGGCCGTAATATTTTAGTATGATCTAGAAGACTATGGTATCTGCCGTCAAAAAAATAATCATAAAAATCGTCGAAACTTTTTTTTGAAAAAATTTATTACAAGAAAACGGCTCGGCCGATCTCTACCAAAAACTAATCAGCACGATTCCCAACCAATATCTTTCGAACTGTTTTTGAATTTTCAAAATCGATTAAGAATTGCGGGCTAAAACGTGGACAAAAAATTTTTTACTTTTCTGCGATTTACAAAGAAACGGCTCGGCCGATCGTCACACAAATCTCTGAAACGCTAGTCCTCATCGGCTTTTAAATTTCTGAAATCGGTCCAACCGTTTTTGAGAAAACGTCGACACACACACGTATACTTTTTCCAAATTTGGTCTCATTCGATTCAGAATGGCTTGAAACGTCGAGAAAATATAGAATCGGATTATTTGATGAAAACATATACTTCTCCTACAGGAAGTTAATGAAAACAAAACAAATTTCACAAAAAAGACAATATATCTCAGAAATTTCAAATTTCGTAAAAAATCCATTTTTTCAAAGTTTTGCAAAGCTTTGCAAAGTTTTTTTTAATAACTCAGTTTTCCGTACGGTATAGTTTTTTCGATGCCATGCACCACTAAATTATTTTCATTTTGGAGAATTTCATCTAGAATTTAAATTATAATCCAAATCATTTTCCATATTCAAAAAAAATATTTTTAAGAAAGTAAAAAAAAAAAAATCTAATAAAAAAAAATTTTTTTTGCCTTCCCCAAAAACTGATCGTTTCTTCACACTGTTGTTAACACAAGCAAAATGGTTTTGGAATCATTCGAATTCGATGCTTTGTTCTCTCAAAAACTCTGGGTTTTTTGCACATGTAGCTTCTTATCTCCAAAACGGCTAGACCTGTCTTTGCCAAAGGCTAATCACCACTTCTCCCCATCATTACGAATTTGCCATTTTCAACGTTCCCTCATTAGTAGGAATCGAATATTTTCAATCTAGCATTTCTAATCAGTAGAACCTTGCGCCCGAAATCGTGGGCAAAAAATTATATTCGCACAAAACACACACACACATCTATTTTTTCTAAGGTATGCCAGAATATTCAAAAACCCCTGAAACGTGAAGATATGTGAAATTTTTTTTTCGTTTTTTTACGCTTGCTATAACTTACCCTATGGGAAGTTAATTATGTTATTTTTGGATCGAATTAGTTCCAATGAAATCTAAAGTGACATTTTATACATAAACAAAAAAAATTATCATAAATATCGATGTCTCATAAAATCATCATTAGTTTGTTAAAATACTGATTTTTAATTAAATCTGCCTAATTAGCGAAACCAAATTAAATTAAAATATGAATAAATGTTTTACAAGCACAACTGTGAAATTGAATAAAGAAATATTTCCGTATTATTTATTTATTTCAAAAACTTATGCAAATATAATAATAATATGAATAAACCAATAATTACTAACACAAGTTTTATAAGTTTAGTTATTTTTATTACTTAAATTTTAAATTACTTAAATACAAATTATATTAAATATTAATTGTCTTAAATGTTATTACATAATCCGACCAGAATTACAATAAAATGTTTTCAAAAAAAATTTGTGTGATACGGTATATAAATAAAAATTACATTATTTTACTTTGACACAGTTGTAGTAGGGGTCATTTTAGTGATTACAATCACGGCTCACATGGCCAAAACTGGCACATAACAGGCAGAATATTTGTGGTTCTTTGCAGTAGCGGAATCTGTGGCCAATCCTTTTGCAGTTGTAACAGACTTGGTTGGACCTACCCTGGGAGTCATAACGGCCACTCTTAGGACATTCCCGTGCAATGTGTCCTGGGTGGTTGCAGTTGTAGCACGATTTGTCTAACTTGCATTCTTTAGCCTGGTGCCCAGTCATGTTGCATCTGTAGCATCGGCCATCTTCCTCCGTGTGCTTTTTATCGAATTTGACAATATTCCTATGGTCTCTTCCACGATCGCGGCACGAGTCCCTATGACCGCCATAGCGGTCACGGCCACCTTCCATACCTTCGCTTTCTTGCTTGTATTCCATACTTTCTGCTTTAATGGATTTTACTTTTCAAAAATGTCAAACTGCGACGCTATATTTTTTTTTGTTTTATCACAGCTCTGAAAATGTTCTAATGTCATTCTCATAAAATCATGGCCAACTTCATTGTCATATAGATCTACCTATTTTAACAATAAATGTTTTAAAAACTATTTTTAACGAGTCTGAAAAGAAAACAGCTGAAAAAATATTGAAGACAATATTCATAATCCTAATATGAGCAAAAATCAGTGATATTTTTTTTGCAGAATTGGTTGCTGTCCATATTATTCATTAGTAAGGTGTTAAACGTCATATGCGCTCATTGTGGGGTAAACACATAAACAATAGAGAAAATGAACTTTTTATCGTATTAGTGTTTCGCTCGTATGATAGAGGGCCGACCAGAATTACAATGAAAATTTTGTGTGATACGGTATATAAATAAAAATTACATTATTTTACTTTGACACAGTTGTAGTAGGGGTCATTTTAGTGATTACAATCACGGCTCACATGGCCAAACTGGCACATAACAGGCAGAATATTTGTGGTTCTTTGCAGTAGCGGAATCTGTGGCCAATCCTTTTGCAGTTGTAACAGACTTGGTTGGACCTACCCTGGGAGTCATAACCGCCACTCTTAGGACATTCCCGTGCAATGTGTCCTGGGTGGTTGCAGTTGTAGCACGATTTGTCTAACTTGCATTCTTTAGCCTGGTGCCCAGTCATGTTGCATCTGTAGCATCGGCCATCTTCCTCCGTGTGCTTTTTATCGAATTTGACAATATTCCTATGGTCTCTTCCACGATCGCGGCACGAGTCAATATGACCGCCATAGCGGTCGCGGCCACCTCCCATACATTCACTTTCTTGCTTGTTTTCCATACTTTCCGCGTTCATGGATTTTACTATTTAAAAATGTCAAACTGCGACACTATATTTTTTTTTTGTTTTATCACAGCTCTGAAAATGTTCTAATGTCATTCTCATAAAATCATGGCCAACTTCATTGTCATATAGATCTATCTATTTTATCATTAAATGTTTTAAAAACTATTTTTAACGAGTCTGAAAAGAAAATAGCTGAAAAAATATTGAAGACAATATTCATAATTCTAATATGAGCGAAAATCAGTGATATTTTTTTGCAGAATTGGTTGCTGTCCATATTATTCATAAGTAAGGTATCAAACGTCATATGCGCTCATTGTGGGGTAAACATATAAGCAATAGAGCAAATGAACTTTTTATCGTATTAGTGTTTCGCTCGTATGATAGAGGGTTCTACTGTTCTCAAATTCAAAACTAACGTCGTTCGTCGGCCTAAGCGTACATCAAACCCGTAAGCCAATTACGGGAATTCTTTAGAAAAACAAAAGAATTAATGATAATTTTCAATATGGCGAAATTTCACGTGTCAAAACACCACAGTGTCAAAAAAGTGTTGAATTAAATGTGGTTCATAAAGATAAAAAATTCTAGCAGGGTACTAACAAAAGCCTATGCACGGGAAATACGAAGAAAATGCCTATTTAAAAATTGGCTTGTAAGCTTTTTTTAAGATCAAAAATTCTAGCAGGGTACTAACAAATCCTATGCACGGGAATACAAAGAAAATGCCCTATTTAAAAATTGGCTTGTAAGCTTTTTTTAACTTATAAGATGGACCTTTGATAGTTATTCATTGAACCGTAGTGGGAGTTAGACATGAAACATAATTTGAAGTACTGATGATTATTTACATATATTAAAAATAAGTCGGGTTTTCCTTCCTGACGATATAACTCCAGAACGCACGAACCGATTTCAATAATTTTGCATTCGTTGGAAAAGTCTCGCGCTCCGACGAAGGCATTTAATAAGCTAAGAAAATTAGGGGTGCATGGCATCGTGCCTTAATGCAAATTGCTGGAACTTCACGCACCGTAATTAAAAATTTAAGTAATGACATTAGTGAGAATTATCAGAATTATGCTTGCAATTAAGTCAACGAGCAATTTTTGCCACAAAGAATAATGATGTACACGCACTGAATTTCACCATTCAATCAAAAATTGCTGACAATTTGGTGACATACCAATGATTTCGACTGGTCTTCCGTTTGACTTCAAACGATTGCAATTTCCAGTTCGCCTTGCTTTTGCAATAACAATTAACAAGTCGCAAGGCCAATCGGTTAGTGTTTGCGGGATAAATTTCAAAAAGATTATTTAGAAAATCATTGTTTTTCACATGGGCAGTTATACGTGGCCTGTTCACGAGTTGGGAAACCATCCGCTTTATTTGTGTTAACGTCAGACCAAAAAACAAACAATGTGGTTTACCAAAGAGCACTTCAATGAAATGGATAATTTGCGGATTCACTTTCATTTACTTAAAGAAGTTCAACTAAAAAACACTTTACTTTACATAATAAAATAAAATTTTGCCTTTTCAAATATAAAACAAACAAAAAATTTCTTCATCTTTCTCACGAAACCAAGTGGCGAAACGAAGTTCGTTGGGTTTGCTAGTTTTTTTATAAATAGAAGTGTAATAAGTAGGAATATGTTAGTAACGGTAAGATTGTTATATTTCTGAAAAATATTGGTAACTTGTCAGTGATATTTTTGAAAATGTGTACATATGTTTTTTAAGAAAATTTATTAGTTTTGCATTTATATCAAATTATAAAATTTCAAACTATAATATGCTCATATCTATAATAACATTTTCATTGTTTTACTGTCGAAATACAACAATACAAATGTATGTTACAGTTACGAATTCTTGGTCATTGTCTATGTTATATACATGCAGAGAAGATGTAGTCTGTTTTATGATTTAAACTAAATTCGATGTATTATAAAATACCAAATCAACGAGCATAATTCTTCTTTAACTTTGTTTTTGATCAACGTTTATATATAATTGACAGCGTAATTTTATGCATGTGAGCAAATAACTGAATTATTTTTCACAAAATCTATAATTTATTAGTAGAAGAAAAATTTCATTTTTACCAATGATTATAGTTGATAATTTTTTAAATGTGTTAACTCTTTAGGGACGGCTGTCCACCTGAGTGAACAACGTACTCTGTTAGTCTAAATGTGATGAGTCACAGGTTATTTTATAAACAATTACTCAGTTTGCATCAAAATGTTGAATAGATTACATATAGCAATAATAAACAGTGTTGTTTGAGCGCTTTTAACACTTTCCACTCACGAATTCCGGGATTTATATGAATTTTCGGATGCCGGAGCGGATGCCGGAGCGGATGCCGAGTCGAAAGGGTTAAATATGGCAAAACGACTGGTGAATTTTGTGAAGTAAGCAGTAGAAGAAAAACAACAAAAACCAATGCCACACCACAATTTTGTAAAAAGTCTTGTAAGTCAGTTGAGATAATTTTCATATCTCAAGCATTTTCATCTACATCGATCTCAGACAATATACTGACTAAATCATGTCATAAAATCAGGATTGTATAGCCTGTTTAGACACCTCATCCGCTATGCATGTTAAAAATTATTTTAAACGTTACTATTATTTATAATAAAAAATAAAGTATGTTTTTCAATGACCACAAATTTTTATCAAACAAATTGCGTAATGAAATCAAGTTTACAGCCGGTACAGTAGATTATTTTGAAATCGGTGCCGTCCCGTAAGGGTTAAATATATTATTATTTATTTTTTATTCAATGTTTTTGTTATTTATCATATTTATAACCTACTAAAGAGCTTTCTATATCGTTCAGCACGGTTTTCTATTTTTTTTTACATTTATTGGCCTCCGCTTTACAGCATTTTTAGCCATCTACATTATTCATATTATTTTTCATCATAGTCTATACAATTCTTACATATATATTTCTTATACATTCATCATATATATATACTATCTTTTCTTATATCCTAATCTTCCATTCAATTTTCTTTTTTCAATTCCACTCAATTTTCATTCTTCTGGTTTCTCAATATGTTTTTCTCATCTTCTAAACTAAACTTCTTTTTTCCTTTTTACTTCTAATACAATTTTTTCTCGTATCCTACAAATTAACAATTTTTTATCTACTTCAATATTTTATATTTTTAATTATGGCGTTGCTGGAGATTCGAACCGAATTCCTCCAGCGTGTGAGTCGAGAACGCTACTGAGTGATCTATTCCCGCCAAAAACGGTTTTTCTATATAAGAGTGAATTTTTTGGGTTACATTGTTTTTCATGCGTACTATTACTGTTTGTCAAGATTTAAAATAGAAAATTTTGAATGTTGCTGTTATTATGCTCGTACTTATATCAAAAACTGTAATTATCAAGAGAATACATGTTTAGCATGTTCAATACATAGAAAATACATTAAATTTTAATACTTAGAAAAATATCTGAAATGTATCGATGCGCATGAGAGGTATTCTTTCTGCGGAAAAGGATCTAAAATCCTATTGTATTACTACGGTCTTACTCTATCAACCAAAGGATCAGAATCAGGCGCGTAGAAATCTGTACAGATGAAAGCCAAAGGAGAAATTGAACAGAAAATCAATGCGTTGAATTATAAATCGTTTTCTTGTTTGTTTCGGTAACAACGGTAGATTATTTATAGGCACTTTTGGTAATATTATTTACTCGAATAAGTGGTATGATGCAGAAATATATTTTTCGCAAATATTGTATATTTCATGATTGTTTATTCTACTGTTACTTTATGTTTCCAATGAGAAATACTTTTAATGCTCGAACTAACACTTTAAAATACTTATACTTCGATAATATTTATTTATTTGACGTTAATCGGCTATATACAGTTAATTATATAGTACCGTAATTAAATGTAGCGTAATGTAATGTAACATAACAATGTAAACCTATGTTACATACTTCACAAAGGAAAAGTTTGTTTTCGTCAAAAGAATTCGTTTTGCTAATTTTATGTTTTCTTGACGTTTTGAAGACATTCTGAATCGAATGAGACTAAAGGATAAAGTATGTATATGTATGTATGTCAGGCA